CACGTGCGGCTTAACGACAGGCATACATTCTGAGAAATGTGTCATTAGTCAATTTTGTCGTTGTGCAAACATCACAGCGTGTACTTCCACAAACGTAGACGGTGCAGCCCACCACACACTAGGCTGTATGGTACTGCTCTTATGGGACCATGCCACTGACCAAAATGTCGTTACACAGTGCACGCCTATACTGAATATTCTGACCCAGGAACAAGGTACATCCCCATTTATTTAGGTCTTCTTTATCATAGTAATATTTTGTAGTTTTCAGTGTACAAGTATTTCATGTTTTTTTGTCAGATTTATTCCTAAGTAAAAATTAGGAATACTTTAGGAAATACCTTTTAGGAAATTACTTGCTATTTTTTTGCTATTGTAAATGTTTTTAATTTCAATTTCTAATTGTTCATTGCTAGCCTATAGAAATACAATTGATTTTTGTACACTGCTTTGTATCCTGCAACCTTGATAAACCCACTTATTAGTTCCAATAACTTGTTTGTAGATTCCACTGAATTTTCTACATAGACAATCATGTCATCTGTGAAAAAAGACAATTTTATTTTTTCTTTCCAATCTAGATGTCCTTTATTTCTGTTTCTTGCCTGATTGCACAGTCTAGAATCTCCAGTACAATGCTGACTAGAGACATCCCTGATTTTTTCCTGATGTTGGGGAAAGTATTCAGTCTCTCACAATTATGTATGATATTCACTGTAGGGTTTTTGTAGCTGCCTTCTATCAGATTGGGGACGTTCCCTTTACCCCTAGTTTGCCTGAGTTTTTATCAGAAATAGATGGTGGATTTTGTCAAATGCTTTTTCTGTATTGATTGAGATGATTATGTGAATGTTAAATCAACTCTGTATTCCTAGGATAAATCCCAGAACCATGATATATTACCTTTTTAATATATCATAGGATTCAATTTATTAACTTTTGCTTAGAATTTTTCCAACTATATTCATGAGGAATATTGTTTTGTAGTTTTCTTTCCTTGTAATATGTTTGTCTGGCCAGGGTCCCAGGGTAATTTTGGTGCCAGGATGATGCCAACCTCATAGTCAAAAAAAAAAAAAAGTATTTCCTCCTCTTTGCGTTTTTGGAAGAGTTTGTGTAGAATTGGTATTATTTCTTCAAATGTTTGGTAAAACTCACCAGCGAAGCCATCTGGGCCTGGATTTTCGTTATAGGAAGGTTGTATCTATTTCTTCTTCTTGAGTGAGCTCTGGTAATTTGTGTCTTTCAGGGAATTTGTCAATTTCATCTATGTTGTTTAATTTATGGGCATAAAGGTGTTCCTAATATTCCCTTACTATTCTAATATCTGTAGGATCTTTAGTGACAATCCTTTTCCCATTTCTCTTCTTTTTTCCTTCACAAATCTGGCTGGAGATTAATCAATCAATCTTATTGATTTTCCCAAAAAACAAGCTTTTGAATTCACTGATTTTCTCTATTGTTTTGTTTTTTATTTCATTGATTGCCACTTTGATCTTTATTTCTTTTCTTCTGCTTACTTTAAACTTGCTCTTTTTTTTCCAGTTTCTTAAAGTGGAAGCTGTGGTCACTGATTTAAGACCTTTCTTCCTTTCTAACATTGGTATTTAATGCTACACGTTTCCCTCTAAGTACTGCTTGAGTGGCAACCCATGAATTCTGTTTTTTATTCATTTCAGATTACTTTCTAATTTCCTTTCAGATTTGCCCTTTCACTTGTGAGTTATTTGGTTTCCACATATTTGGGGATTTTCAAGGATCTTTCTGTTATTGATTTCTCATTTAATTCCACTGTGGCCAAAGAACATACTTTATATGATGAATACTTTTGAATTTGAGATTTTTTCGTGTGTGTGAGGAAGATCAGCCCTGAGCTAACATCCATGCTAATCCTCCTCTTTTTGCTGAGGAAGACTGGATCTGAGCTAACATCTATTGCCAATCCTCCTTCTTTTTTTTTTTTCTCCCAAAGCCCCAGTAGATAGTTGTATGTCACAGTTGCACATCCTTCTAGCTGCTGTATGTGGGACGCCGCCTCAGCATGGCCAGAGAAGTGGTGCGTCGGTGCATGCCCGGCATCCGAACCCAGGCCGCCAGTAGCAGAGCGCGTGCACTTAACCGCTAAGCCCCAGGGCTGGCCCCGAATTTGAGATTTTTAAATGGGCCATAATGTGGTCTATCTTCACAAATGTTCCATGTACACTTGAGAAAAATTTGTATTCTCAAGTCCAATTGGTTGATACTGTTATTGAAGTCCACTATATTTTTGCTGATTTTCTGCCAACTTGTTCTCTCAATTATAGAGAGGGGTATTAAAATCTCTGATAATTACATATTTGTCTATTTCTCCTTGCAGTTCTATTAGTTTTTGCTTCATGTATTTGAAGCTTTATTAGGTGCAAAACACTTAGAATTATGTCAATTACACTCATTGACTACATTATCAGTATGAAACAACCTTCTTTAATCCTTTAATCCCTGTTAATATTCTTTCCTCTGAAATACATTTTAATATTAATATGGTCACTCCAACTTTCTTTTGACTAGTGTTATCACAGTATATCTTTTTCCATCTTCTTACTTTCAACCTATTTGTATCTTTAAAGTACATTTCTTGAAGGCAGAACAGAGTTGGTTTTTTTTTTTTAATCCAACCTGACAATCTCTGCCTTTTGAGGTGTGTAGACTCACATATAATGTGATTATTGACATGGTTAGGTTTAAGTCTATCATCCTACTACTTGTTTTCTGTCTATCCCATCTGTTCTCTATTCTTTTACCTCTTTTTCTGTCATTTTTTGGATTAATCAAATGTTTTTATGATTCCATTTTATCTGTTTAATAACTACAATTTTCTTGGTTATTTTAGTGGTTGCTTTAGGGTTTATAGTATACATCTTTAACTTACCACAGTCTACATTCAAATGATAGTATATCATTTCATGTATAGTACAAAATCCTTACAATAATATAGTATACTTCTCTCCTCCTAGTCTTTAACTATTGTCATCCATTTTACTTTTACAAATATTAAAAAGTCCACAATATATCATTTTTGTTTAAACAATTATCTTTTAAAGAGGTTTGAATAATAATAAATCATGCATTTACCCATATTACTATTACTATTTCAGTTACTATTTTCAGTGCTCTTTATCCCTTTGTAGATCCAGATTTCCATCTGGTATCCTTTTCCTTTTGCCTGAAGAACATCCTTTAACTTGCTTGTAGTACAGGTCTGCTAGTGATAAAGTCTTTCAGCTTTTCCAAGTCTGAAAATGTCTTTATTTCTTCATATCTATTATTCTTTTTTCAGCAGTGTCTAGTCCACCGTTAAGCCAATCTACAAAACTTTCAATTACAATATATTTGTGTGTGTGTGTGTGTGTGTAAGATCAGCCCTGAGCTAACATCCATGCCAATCCTCTTCTTTTTGCTGAGGAAGACTGGCCCTGGGCTAACATCTGTGCCCATCTTCCTCCACTTTATGTAGGACGCTGCCACAGCATGGCCGGACAAGCAGTGCATCAGTGTGCACCCGGGATCCGAACCTGGGCCACCAGCAGCAGAGCACGCGCACTTCACCGCTCCGCCACAGGGCTGGCCCCACAATTACAATATTTTTCATTTCCAGATTTTCATTTGGAATTTTTCTCAATCTGCTTGGTTATTTTCACACTTATGCTCTTTAATCCCCCTTATTTCTCTAAATATAAAACATACTTTATATTGTCTTTGGTAACGCTAGTATCTTAAGTCTTTATAGATCTGCTTCTTCTGTCCATCCTTTCTGCCGTCTCTTACCTATTTTACGTGTTGGTGATTTTTTTTATTGTGAACTTATATTGCTTGAAACTATCTCTGAGTTCCTCCCAAGACGATCTGTTTTGCTTCTGCCCGTCACCTGGAAGGCACTAAAAACTTGATAGCACTTTAAGTTTCCAGCTTGAGACTTTTTTAGACTACCCAGGTTGTGTGAACAAACTAGTTAAAGGGCTACATCTCAGAGATGTTTTCTGTCAGGACAGGCAATCTTCCTTGCTGTCCTGGGAGTGAGGAGGGTACAGGGGAGCCAGACAGGTTTATTCACAGTCCACCCGTACTCTAAGTCTAGCCTTTTGGGGCCTCAACTTTATGAGGTCTCCTATGAGCACTCCCACCTTGGGCAGGCCCTCAGCCTCGTCTGCTGTTCTCCTGCCCCTTCCCCACCCCAGGCTGTGAGAAGCAAATTTCCATTTGACATTTGGCAAATATCCTAAGGGTGAAAAGTGGTTATCAGTGCCCTCATTACTTCTTTGGGTTTCTACTTCCATTAAAAACTTGTTATTTACTTAGCCTTTGAGAATTCTTAATTTTCTTCCAGCTCACTGATACATTTTTAAAAATGGTTCTTGATACATATTCCAGAAGTTTTAGTTTTTTCAGCTGGTCCTTATCAGCCATACTGCTGGAAAAAACTCTTTCAACTTGTTCTTTATCAGTATACAGTATCCAAATATCCCTCCTGATTCAGAGGCAGAAGAGTGAGAACACACACTTGGGAACCAGCTGGCCTGGGTTCACGTCTCAGATCCACAAGCAGTGTGACCTTGGCAGCTTATTCATACTCTGTGCCTGTTTCCCCATAGGATTGGTGTGAGAATTAAATGAGGTAATGTATGAACAGCACTTAAAGCAGGGACTGGCTCTGTTGAGTATAAGAACTCCTTGTTATTATTACCTGGAAGAGTTGTAACCATGTGCCTGAGCAACAGCACACATCTTGCCCCACGGCCCAACCACCACTGCTGCCTGGCCCCCTCTACCACGTGCTGACCCACCACCCTGTGCTTACACGGACCGGGAGAAATCACGATGCGCTAGTCACGGGGTGACAGGCCCAGCTGCAGTCACAGAACAGAAAGCTAACGAGCGCTGATCTAAGAAACATCATCATCATACAAGCCTGAGTGAACACACAGTCCTTTCACCATTAAGAAATCTGAAAACAAGTATACACATAAATAAACAAGATTTTAAAATTTGTATTTTTTATGGTGGACAGTCATCATGTGCCCCAACAGCCATCTGAAGCCAATAGTCCTGATTATTAAAAATCACAAAGTTGTATAAATGTTCTCCTCCTTTTCGAAAACCATGTTCATTTTCTCTCCATGAAACAGGGCTGTCTGCAAAGCCTTGAACCGACAACGTAACCCAAGGCGCTAACTTTGGTTCATCAAAGTAGTGACTGAAAAAGAAAAAAAATTCTTAACAATCAGGGAGAGTGAGGAACATTCATATTTATTTTTTTACTTATTCAGGATAAGTGGTATTTATGATGTTCCAATGAAGGTTAGACCTTTGCTTTTATTTACAAAAATTAGGAAATGCAAATTAAAGTCCTGATGCTATATTGTGAATTCAATAAAGGTTAACCAATACACAACACACAAAACAAACTCGAGCTGTTCCTGCCCCTACTGTGGGAGATCATCTGAGATTCAAAGAACAAAAAATCCCCACAAAGTGTATAACAATAGTTTCCCTTCCTTTAACAGTCTGTTTTCAGAGTCTCTGTTAACTGAAACACACTGCAGAATAATTTATCCAATTTTTAAAAATTCAACCTTCTTATTAAGGAAAATCAAAGTACTAAAAACACTAATAAATGTGAAAAAAGATGTTGGGTTTAAAAAGGAAAACTCTCAAGACTTAAATCTTAGACATTTTAGAAGTGACGACTAAGAAGGCACTGTGTCCACTTTATAGTCTTCTCAATATGGGGTCTGAGTTTCCTGACATCAGCTACAACGCACCATTTTATTTACACAATATCCCCCAAGTGAAAAACCCAACACTACTTGATACAACCCTTGGCAGACTACTGATGCCCAGCGGTTCACAGGATGTTACAGCTGGAACAGATCAGACATGATTTTGATTCAGAGATGGTCAATTCCTTTTATCTACCCATTTCAAAATGAAACATCTTGCAGAACTCCAATATTTAAAATAGATGACAATATGTTCTATAGAGTATTGCTGTTTTCTTAAGTGATACAACTTTAACTGCACCAAAATGGTCCAGGGGAGCAGAAGGAGAAAAACGAGCAGTTTGTTTTCAAGAACGATCGTTAAGCTCTGCTCTTTCTCTTTTCATAAGGACAAGTATATGGCAATAGAATTTTCCTATCACCAAGGATAATTATGTCAGTTAAGATGACAATGTTACTACACTGTGAGACCAAGCAAGGAAGACGGGAAATGTACGTGAGAGGACTCTACGATTTGGAATGGTGGTACTGCCCCTAAAACATCAGGCTGGCACAGCCAAGAGAGAAAAGGCAAAAGGCGTTCTCACCACAGGTGCTCCAACAGGAGGCATATCTTCTCCGGAAGGATGAAACCAGTGACTGTACACAAATAAGCTTTGGCCACCACGCTGCTTGGCTGAGGACAGCAATAGGTTGATATGAAATTATTAGGCTCGTTATTTCTGTCACAAAAGAAAAAGGAGGGAAACACATTTATATCCACTACATGATCACATTCAAAGTATTAAACCCCTACTAAAAACAGGAAGCCAGCCAGAGCCCTCCACCCTCCAAGACCCAGGAGCTTTGCTACGCACAGTTCGGCATTGCTGAAGACGGCGCCCAGCCAGTCGAGCAGCTCCCCGGCACTGCAGGCTGCCCCCGGCGCTCCCCGGAGCTCACCACTCTGCAGCACTGGGCACTGCAGATCTGTCACTGTGCTCAGCGCTATTTTTGGCTGATGCTCCTGAATCCGGTAATTGGAAAAGTATGACATCATGGTTGATTCTTCTGCACCTTAAAACACACCATATAAGTCCTTCTGACTGCTGTAAACAAGTTCTGTGAATCCCTGCAACTACCCCATTCCCACTTGAGAGTTACGGGAAGCAGGTGGGATTAAACAAAACGGAAGGAAGTTGTGCAAAGCTGTATTCAAATTAAAATCATTTAAGTTGCTTTCAGCTCCTCGTGCCAAAGTTCTGTAAACATTCATCTTCTTTCACACTTTTCCTGGAAAAGCATAATACTTTCAGATTCAACCCATATACATTTCATCATTTGCTCTAATAAGAAAATTTTGACTTAATAAATAACACCAAAAGCATTACTTATGTATAAATAAAATTAGTGAGCTCTACAGAGAAAGGAGCATATATGCACAATCTCTACAAAGGAAACAGAAGAGGAATTGAATGATGATAGAATCTCATTCAAGCTTGTCTTTGAAAAACCAGTAAAATCCAGTGTTTTTTCAAGAATTTTTCAAAAGCCTTGGAATACAGAAACAGTGGGCCCCTCTGCAGCAACGGGTAGGCCTGCTTACTATCCAGCGTAACAGAAATAATGTCTCCCTTCCTCCCTACCTCCCTCCCTTCAGGGCAAAAGTCAGCAGCAGGCTCACTGCCCAGTATAAAAGATTGGATACACAGAAATCAAAATATAATGATATACACCTGAAATTTATATCATGTTATAAACTAATATTACTGCAAAAAAAAAAAATCAACAGGGCCGGCACAGTGGTTACGTGTGGGCGCTCCGCTTCAGCAGCCCAGGGTTCGTAGGTTCGGATCCAGGACACACACGACACACTGCTTGTCAAGCCACACTGTGGCGGCGTCCCATATAAAGTAGAGGAAGATGGGTACGGATCTTAGCCCAGGGCCAATCTTCCTTAGCAAAAAAAAAAAAAAAAAAAAAAAGAGGAGGCTCGGCACTGGATGTTAGCTCAAGGCTGATCTTCCTCACCAAAAAAACCCAAACCAAAACAAAACAAATCAACAATGACAACAAAAAGAAATGGTGAACAAAGAAAACGATAAAGCATGTGAGAAAATCTAAACAAACATTGTACAAAACAATAATTATGATACTTTATATTAGGGATTTTTAACTAGAGAAACTGGTGAACATGTGCACCGACACATTTACAAAAACGCTCAGAACAGCCTTCTGAAAAATACAATTTACACACTGATAAATGCTCTGAAAATAACCAAGTAGGGGCAAAAGGACAGAGAGTGACTTGGAGGGGTACTGCTCCGGAGGGGAGGGCTGCTTTCTACTAGGAGAAAAGGAAGCTCCCTCTGAGAGGTGTCCCCCAGGTGGTCTAAAAACCTGGACTATTTAAATCTGAAAACTAAGGACAGGACCCTGAGCTTAGAGTGATGTATAAATTGCAAACTTAAGTTAACAACTTAAGTACAATAGTGGATAGCAGGGGATTGGAAAAAAAAAAAAAAGACATATTAATCTAAATTATGGACATGGAAAATGGGACTGACATTTGGGGACCCTGTATTCCAGGGTGGACAGGTTATGCAATTTTCTCTGTCTTCAATTTTATCAATCATACAAGACAGAGTTAAATCAGATGATGTCTAAGGTTCCTTCCAGCTCCAGGAGTATAGGATGAAATAAAGGCCAATTCGGGGCAATTTTCTTTAAGGAAGTTATCATAGTAAGTTAAATATATACATGTATGTGTAAAGTTTTTTAAACTAGCGTGTGACCACCTGACAATTGTTAAAACCACTAGTAAATAACAATACGCCTGTTCAGATGTAAAACAAGTTTTTCTTTAAAACGATGCAATTTTCATTGAAATATTCTGTATATTCAAATCACTGGTTCAGATATATGGGTTTTCAAATGCATAAAGGTCGAGGTTTCATTATATGGTGGTTTGATTAAATGAATTTTCATATTCGTAAAAAAAAGGATTTGACTTCCTTAAGCTCTGGGTTCCACTCCTGTAACGCGACCACTGTGCTGGCATCACCGGCCTACTCTGTTTTACTCTGCAGGAATCAGGACTTGGTGAACTGGCGCAAATGCTGACACTCTGGCCACTGCTATTGCTGTGAGTAATTAAGTCCTTTGTCTCTAACCGAGGAGTCTCGTGTCTTCTACCAGCATCCTTGAGACTGTGCAGGCTAACTTCTTAGCTTGCAAGTAGGGTAAAATCTCAGATCTTTCACAGTTCCTGACAAGCCCTTAAAATAACTAGTAGTCTTAGGAACAGAGAGCTCTCCAGAACCCAATGCACAGATGGCCCTCAATGAAAACTTCATGCGATTGAAATGCTGGTCTCTCTACCCTCCTGTATCTGCACCACAAGCAGAAGCAGAAGCACCAAAGTATTACAGACCTAGGACTCACACAAGCAACCTGGAGCACTCAGTGACCAGAAGCCTCCCACGAGGAGCAGACAGAAGGGCATACTTCCAAAACGGACCTACATGTTTCCCCGTTCTCCAAAAGACCATACTCCACCATCACAACTGTGATGATCTGATTCATTCTAATCTTGTGATGGGCCAACGATACACATATAAAAAGAGTGAGGCACATGGCAGCTGTAAGCAGATTAAGATGTTTGGTGACCATCAAACTTTTAACTACATCTAGTGTTCCAACCAATTAAAAGTCACAACAAATTAAATTGACTGACTTTTAATGGTACAGCTGACTACCCTGCAATAATGAATAAGCAGTGTGTGTATATAACTATAATTGGTATTATTTTAAAACATCACAGCCAAGGTGGTTTGAGGTAAGCAGGAGGAAGGAAGGAGAGAAACAGATAAAGGTTAGCTGCTCTGAAGCCACTCTCAAGATCTCTGGATCTACATATAACCCAAGAAGACGGAGGCAGATGGCTGCACACCTAGATTATCCTGAACTATGGCTCTTGGGGATGTCAGAGGGGCCAAAGCAGCTTCCTTAACAATGCTTATACATATATGTACACGGTGTCTCTGACCATAGGGATCAATCACCATTAAATCCTCCACTACTCCCCTCTAATTAACAAATTTCAAAATCACTGTATCGTTATATAATTTGTTCTCCATTACCTGTATGATGCCAAGCCAAAAGGAAATCAAATTTCAGTGGCTTCTTTTCTTTGAAGGACCAAGATACTCTCTCATACTTCTTAGAACCCAGGTTAGAGGATAAGTCCATCAAATCAATGGAAACAACTTAAAAAATGGAAAGAGGAATAAATAGTTCATTCATATATACACAACTTGCACTGTGGAAAAAGTGTTGCATTAAAAACATCAGAATTTTTGGAAATTTTATGGATAGTAAAAATGATTTTGTTCTTCTCACACTCCCTTTGGTTTACTAAATCAAAACTCCGCCTTTAATGGGCTCTAGCATTGAGAGCTAGTACCAACAGATTTTTTTTTTTTTTTTTGGGTGAGGAAGATTGGCCCTGAGCTAACACCTGCGCCAGTCTTCCTCTATTTTGTATGTGGGTCACCGCCACAGCATGGTGTAGGTCCACGCCCGGGAACCAAACCCAGCCTGCCAAAGCAGAGCACACCAAACTTAACCACTAGGCCACTCGGCCAGCCCCCAAACAGATGTTTTAAATTCATACTTTTCCTAGGTCAAAGACCAAGGGCAGAGGTCCTTAGGAGGTCAACTCTAATCTATCTATGGATGTGGCAGCCTTAACACTGTTGTTCAAACCAGACCCATCTTCACTCATGGGTGAATTTCTACTAGGAATCATAAAGACTCAGGGAAATAAAAGGAAATTCTTTATTAAGAACAAGTTGTAGACTCTTATCTTGGGTTCATTACCTTGAATTTTTGATCCAAATGGATCATTCCAATTCTATGATGTTTATAAGATATAGCCTACAGGGCTGGCCCAGTGGCTTAGTGGTTAGGTGCGCGCACTCTGCTACTAGTGGCCCAGATTCAGATCCCGGGCGTGCACCGACGCACCGCTTGTCCGGCCATGCTGAGGCCGCGTCCCACATACAGCAACTAGAAGGATGTGCAGCTATGACATGCAACTATCTACTGGGGCTTTGGGGAAAAAAAGGAGGTAGGATTGGCAATAGATGTTAGCTCAGAGAGCCGGTCTTCCTCAGCAAAAAGAGGAGGATTAGCACGGATGTTAGCTCAGGGCTGATCTTCCTCACAAAAAAAAAAAAAAAAAAAGATGTACTCTACAGCTGAAGAGAAATGGATATAACAGCACTATCTTATCCTCTCTGAAGCCCAAGCCCCTTCAGTCAGAAGTTTTAAAAATAAGAAAAAGTCATACTTTTTCTGGCCAATGAGAGTACAAGCAATTCAAACATTTAAATTTATATTGCTACGGAAGATTACTGACTTGTTAGAAATTGATGAAGTGAGCATAATACCTACTAAATTTCATGATTTTTCTGCCAGAATACTGAGATGGACGACCCTGAAGTCCAGTTTCTTCGTAAGTGTCTTTATCCAGTGATAAAATTAATTTCCCTATAAATCAAATAATTCCCATAAAAGAGATGTTAAAAATATGACTTATGTTCTCTGACTAAAAGAAAGCACAGCAAGTTGAGCAGTTAGATATCAGTGTAATAAGTTGCATACAAGGTTATTTATATACAAGGATATTATTTTTATACTTACATCTTATTTATAATGCAAGGGTATTATTTATACATTATACATACAAGGATATTATTTATAATAGTCAAACTAGAAATTATCTAAATTTCTATTAAAAAAGGAATAGTTAAATCATAATATACCTCTTCTTTGGAATACCTTCAAGACAATAAATATAGTAAGTTAGAACTATATGCACTGATACGGAAAAATATCTATGATATATAGCTTGGGAAAAAAGCAAACTGAGAAACAATGTAGTATGATATAATTTATATTAAGAAAAATAAAGAAAAACCTTTACATGTGTTTATAAATTAATAAAAAATGTCTAGAAGAATAAACACTAACTATTGAACATTAGTTCCTTCTAAGAAGGAGAGTGAGTTTGGAGGGATGGGGATGAAAGGGGGGACTTTCACTTTATACACAGCTGTATAATCTGACTTTTTTCCGTACAGTATGCATTTCCTTTATAATTACAGAAAGAAGAAAAATGAGTGTTGTTACCATTTGGCAGGAGGGCAACAGTATTATCTTCATCAATATTTGTATTGTATGTTAGTGCATAGCACGAACCTGTAAGAGAAAGCCCAGAGGAGAAATTAAGACAAGAAAAAAAATCACGCATGCAAACAGTTAGTGGATTATTTTCACATGATAACAAACCTTCAGGTCACTGCTCCAGCTCACTCAATAAACCTACAGGCTGCCCAGGCTAAGCTGGAGAACAGGGAGGGCCAAGCGCAGCTGGTTCAATCCCCTGCCCAGGGTCTATGTGTGCAAGCAGACCACCATCAAGCAGAAAATGGACTCGGGATGGAGCAGGGACCTTTGGGGATGCTGGCAGAGAGGCACAAAGTAGAAGTGTACACACCGAGAGGCAGAGTTCCAAGTTAAGATTCACAATGTGCCAGGAATTTGTGTGAAGTTAAGAAAGCTACTCTATCTCTCCCAGCCTCAATTTCCTCACCTGTAAAATGGGGATCATAGGCCTATTTCATAGAGTTGTTGCAAGGGTTAAATTGGGTAAGATATGTAAAAGTGCCTGCTACAGCCAGTGTCCACACAACTAATGAAGTAGTGCCAAACTTCAAAGTAGATGAAAGGAATAATGTCGATGAGACCGAAGGCAAGCCATCCAGCTTCGTCAGCAGCCCCAGTCGCACCAAAACGAGAGGAGCCACAAGTAACTAGGATTCTTCACAGCTCCACTGGAGAAGAAGAACACGGGGCCTCAAGATAAGTAAGTGGCTATTGCACAGTGACTTATACAGTGAGGGTGGAATCCATAGAGACACTGTGAAATACAGTTTCAAACAAATGGCTCCTAGGAAAAAACTGGGACAAACCAATCAACCCACTGGATATGACTGGGAATAGGGTAAGCAGAGGAAGGTGAGAGTCACAAACTCTAAGGAAAGACACGGAACCACAATGAACACCCAGTTCTGTGAACTGCTGCTATGGCTGCACCAAGAGAGCAACCTTTTGAGACAGCTGTTGTGCAGACTGCCAGGAGCACAAGGGTGCTTGCAGCCACACACCCAACAGCAGTGCGTCTGAACACACAGACCAAAAGACTTTCCTCTCCACGAATCCTTGTTTTCAGATGAGAGATGCTCCCATGTTACAACATCCCCATGCAATGTTTGCGGGCAAGTATAACCAGAAACCACCACCTGATGAGAGCACATGAAAGAATGGGATGAGAATACTGAGGGGTGGGGGAGTGAGGTGCGCACCTGACCACACAGCCCATCTCCACAGGCCCTATTTAAAACAGGAGAAGAACCCTAGTATTGCGACGTGATCTACCTATACCTCCTCCCCTTGCACGGTCACAGACACTACACGGTTTTTCTTACCTTTCTTTACAAAAGTATTGATGAATCCGTGAGTAATGAACTCATGAAGAGGTAAATTCTTCACAAAGTAATAGGGTCCCGTTTCCATGACAAGGTTTTTCAGCTCTTTTGCTAGCATCCCACATTCAGGAATCAGAAACGAAACCTATTGGAATGTGTAATACAAACAACGTCTTATTTTCATGTAGATCAACTCCCAAGTTTTGAGGGATGAGATAACATCATGAAGGCTGCTAACTATTCCTCCACAGGTTTCAACAAAACTCTTAAAATTTACCAAATCTCAGGAAAAGAGAAATTTGACAATTTAAGTTTTTCATTTGTATATTCAAACGCACAGTACAGAAAAGGTGAATGAGCAAAACAAGTTCAATGGAAAGCTCTGGCTTGCATTTCATCTTTCTCAAGCGAGCAGTATGTTTTATGTCCTGTTCCTTTCACTACTACAATTAATTTTTAGGGCAATACAGTATAACTGAATACCTCCAGGTTTGTTTATCCTGGTACGAGGCTGGAATCAAAGGAACTGTCCCTTAGGGCATAAGGAATTTAGGGACATCAATTAGCAAGAGGTTCCATGGAAGCAGAAGTGCTGCTGGATGTTCCTATTTTCCAGACAGAAAAACTCTACAGAGCACGCTGGAGGAGACAAGGTGCACTTCCCCGAGGGCTGTCTGTGACGAGCTTTCCACCCAAAGCAGAGAGGTCCACCCGACAGGTTTCAAATGTCGCCCCAGTGCTCCACACCTTGAACGTCGCCCTCCCAAAGCTCGAACACCAGCCTGCTCCTGAGGATCAGGGTCTCTACAGTGTCTGAGAAACTGGCCCGTTAGGCCTCAGTTGAGATTAGGCTCATCAATGGAGAGTGTAAAAGGCTTAAGCCATTATCATCTCAAGGTTGCTTTTTCGGAGGCCTCGCCACTTAAATGGGTTGGTGAAACCGGCCCAGTAGACGCCTGACTGGGAAAACCGGCCGTTCTCCTCAAGTCGGCACATCCTGGATAAACCAATAATTAACCTCATGCATGCCTTGACTTCCGCACCCGGGAAAAAGGCACCCCGCGAGGATGACATTTCACGAAGCAAAAGCCAAAGGTGCTCTAAAGTGGTGCTTTTGCGAGTGGGGCCACCTCGGCGAATCTGCGCTAAAAGCTGCCGAAATGCTGCACTTTGGCTGGAGAACGCAAAAGGCGGCAGCCAAGGTGGGAAGTTTCTCAGATATCAAACCAGTTCCCAAAAGCAGTTTAGAAAAGCAAGTAGCTTGCTGGGCCGGAACTCGGTACGATGCTCCGGAAAGATCTACAGGCCTGCGGGTGGAACACGGAATCCAGCGCCGGGGAAGGGGCGAGAGTCTGCCCTCAAATCGGGGCGGGGCGGCCCGCGCACTCGCCTAACTCCCTAGACCCAGCCTTGCCTTCCCGTCCCACCCCCGGCCGCCACCACCTGGGGCGGGGCGGCACCACAATAAGTAGCCAGAGGCACTGCGGACGCAGCCAGGCGCACATCGCCCTGCCCCTCCCTCCGACGGCTGGACACCGCCCTGCGCCCGGCGCATCCTGGGAGTCGTAGTCCTGCAGCTCTGCGAGCCACTGCCCCGAAGCGGCTAA